GAATCCTCAAGGTGGGAGGAATCAAAAACCATTAAAACTCACATACAAATGTATTTGGTTAAAGAATTAGTCCTGTCCCTTCCACCAGATGCATTTACATGCAGCTTAATGACGTTTTGTTTGATTTATGCTTTTTGTAACTCAGCTAAACTGATCATATCCAGTTTGAATGAAGCACCATAGGAGAAGAAAGACTTTAACTTATTACTGTGCAGACTTTACACAAGACATGCGTGTAGAAATGTGCGCGCATATATATATATATATATATATATATATATATATATATATATATATATATTTTCATTCAGTCAGTGATTACAATTGGTTTTCTTTGCTCCCTAATGCACGCTGGCACCACATCTAAAAGGGTGCAGATCTTCCTCCCACCTACAATGTTGGTAGTGCTCTTGTGTGGATTGCATATCTGACTGTTGACTGATACTCAGACGCCTCCTGCCAGCGACCTCATTGTCCCAAAGCTGATGTTTTTACTTCCAGCATTAGCGTCAGAATGATGTGTGTGTGAGAGGAGAGGCTGTTGCTTTTCCCTTTGTACTTCATTATGATTTTCTCATGTGATGTTTTTGTTTTGTTTTTTAAATTTAATGAGGTCACTGGCAGGTTGAAGGGATAAACCTATACTGGTGAGGTTCTTGCTTTGTGTGAGTGAGGATTCAGAGAAGGTCTCCCACTTTTTGTACTATCACACAATGGTGTAAAAAATGTAAAGTGTTTATTGGATAATAGTTTTGGATTTGTTACTGTTTATATTTGCAGGATGTGGATGTATTTTCTTCATGTATTTTGTTTGTAAAAATGGATTTCTAATTTACTAGCATGTTTGCTTTTGCCAATAAAGATGGAGGAATTGGGTGCTTATAAGGCCATAAAAAAAATAAAAAAAAAAGAGGGGGGGGGAAAAAAAACAGAAAACATACATAAATATAAATTGGATCTGGGAGGGAAAAGAAAAGGTAAAGAAAATGAAAACATGTCAGCATTGGCAAGGGGGGGATTTCCAGGCAAAAGCATTCCAGAAAATATGAACCTATTCTCTTGTGTGGTCTCATTCTTCTTGCATGTGCTCGGTAATTAAATAATTCACACTGCAGTATTAGTACTTATAATTAGGCTATAGCATTAAAGATTATACCTGTGCTTAAAACACATCAAATGTTATGACTAAACAGTGGAATTACTGAAAGCCATTAGATTTTTTCCTTATACTTTAAGTACTTTGATGCATGAGTGCATTAACCTTTTTTTAAATGGTGTGTTTATCAAACCTGACAATTTTGTTTTGCTACATCTGGCATTTTTTGCAATTTATGCTTAAAGTTCGGGGTGAAGGCACTGATGACGTACAAGTGTCAGAAAAGCATATCACAAATGACACTTAAACCCCTTATAACACTGAATTTACTTATGGTAGAACCTACTTTGAAATTCTACTCTACGTGTGTATTCATATTTATCCAAGTGTTATTGGGTCAAAATTTTAGCTCTTTTTATTGGGGGTGGGAGAGCTCGAGCCTATCCCGGCTATCATAGGGTGAGAGGCAGGCTGCAACCTGGACAGGTCATCAGCCTGACACAGGGCTAACAGAAACATGGACAATAATTCACACCGATGAGCTATTTAGAATCATCAGTTAACCTATCTCCACTGCATGTCTTTGGACTGTGGGAGGAAGCCAGAAGAGAACCCAAACAAACAGGGATGCCCCAGGCAGATTGTGGGGTCGAACTCCCGACCTTCTTCCTGTAATGCAACAGTGCGTGCCACCATGCTAGTCTGGGAAGTGTTATGGGGTTATTTCCAAGTATTTTGAAGTCCATCATGCCATCAACATGATTATTCACAAGTGGAAAATATTCAAGATAGCTGCTAATCTCAGGAGTGGAGGTCCCAGCAAGTTTATCCCAAGGTCAGACTGAAATACACAGAGAAGCTGCAAAAAACACGAGCTACATCTCCGACTCTACTGGCCTCAGTCAGCATGTTAAATAATAATACTGAACAAGTGTGGCTTGTTTGGAAGGGTTGCCAGGGGAAAGCCTCTTCTCTCTGAAAAGAAGATGGCAGCATGGCTTAGGTTTGCAAGAAATTGGATCTGAACAAACCACAAGATTTCTGGGGGGAAAAAGTCCTCTGACCAGGGGAAACAAAAGTGGAGTGTGTGCCCATAATGCAAAAAATTAAGCACAACATATTAACAGCATACCAACTGTCTGTGCACTTTGCAGTCACTTCTCTGTATCCCAAAGTATTCTAGAGTAAAATGTGAAGCCATCTTCCCAACAGATAAAGCTTTGCACAACAGCTGAGGAAAAAAAGAAGTGAGATTCTGCAACGGCCCAGTCAAAGTCCAGATGTCAGCTCAATTGTACAGTCATGCATAAACAAACGACAACCCTCAATGAACTGAAGCAGCACTGTAAAATCGAGCGGGCCAAAAAATTCCTCCAAAATAACATGAAAAACTGAAATCATACGGAAAACGATTACTTCAAGTTATTAATTGCAAAAGTAGTTTGATTCTAACAGATAATTAACTGTGCGACCTCAGAGTAAAGTGATTCATTTAAGGAACAGTCAAGTTTGAGAAGCATCCTAAAGAACATTAATTAAAGTAAGATGGGTCAGCGCCCCAGCGTCGCTATGTGATAATGATAATGTGAATAAGTAAATGGGATTTTTTTTCATAAATTTCCAGAACACATGAAAACAACTTTTTGCATTTTTATTTTTGTAATATTACACAATGAAGGATAATATTAAAAAGAACATTTGTAAAGGAGATCGAGTTACATAAAAGTAGGGTCAAAGCTGATTTATGGCTTAATAATTAGCCAATAAGACAAGCCGTTATGGTCATGGGCGTCCACTTTGATACGTTCCCAAGCAAATCCCAACGCATCTGAGTGAAGACACCACAGAGCAGCTGCGACATATTAAAATATCACTGAATAATGCATGACCATTTCTTACTTTAGGAAGTCAAGTGAAAACACTCAGAATCTGTTTAGCTTAATGCAAGAACTTCCAGCTCGTCCCAGGGGAAAGGACTTGAAGGGCTTGACAGTTCAACATTCCAGATTTCATTCTGACCTGGTTACTGGGAGGTGAAGGAACAAGCACTGGGAGAATTGACTGTGCTTGTGTATTTAATTATATCATCAAAAGTAAGCTGCTGATTGGTAGCGCGCTTATTTATTTATTGTTTCTTTCCTGAAATTATTCATCACGGTGTGTAATGAAGGCTGTGACAGTATTTAGATCGTCTGGTGGAACTGAGCTCCAGATGTAGCCTGGCCAGATGGATGGGCGGTGCTGATGGCGTGGTGTGGGGACACGTTGGAGAGGTGGTGCTGCAAATATGACAAAGCTCTTTATAAAACACGCCAGGGCATCTTCAAACTATGAAGAGTGCAAAGATGACATAGTACAATGACCACTAAATTATGAATAACCCCAGCAGTGTAACAGCAAGCAGGGGTTTCATGCTTTCTACAGACTAATGCGGAGATTCAGGTTCTTGTATCTGATTTTTATTCTCACGCTGATGAAAAATGATATCTTCTGGTGAGATCTCACGTGTTCACAACTCAGTTTAAATAACACGTTGGGTAACTAAAAGTATCGCACGAGCGATCAGACTCAAAAAAGCCAATCAGGGGTCAATCTCTTTAATGCATTTAAAAGGAGGAAACTTTGAGGGCGTTTCCTTCTGCTGAAAGTGAAAAGTTTCTCAAAGTCTGAGAGGCGTGCTTTGTGACATCACGCTTCAGCCAGAGGCTATGTGGAAAGCCTGTATTCACATACAGTGCGGATAGTCTGTCAATGATGCAGAAGATTATAGTTAAATTTTCGAAACTAAAAAATATTTAGTTTAATATTTTAGAATATACATCAAATTATCGTTCAAAGGACGTATATCTGCGTTTGAATTACGCCAGGAGAAGATCATTAAAGGTATCTCTATGAGTCTGTGTTGAGTTATTTGAACGCAACACTCGCAAATATGAGTTAAGGCCACATGCTCTTCGCAACCAAGTCTGAAAGTCAAAGTTTGCCCGGGTCGAGAAGTCCTTGGCTGTTTTAATCTGTGTAATGTATAAGAACCTGCCAGTGTGGTAATGGATGCCTGCCACGGTGGTGCTAAATTATTCACAGTCTGGGGAACCAGAGAGGCAGCAGGATCGGATAGACTAGGCTGTGTCATCGGGAGCCTCTGCCAACCTGGCTCCTCTTTCGGACCGTCCAGGCCGGCTTCGTGAGTTTTATCCAGGCAGCCACATGAGAAGACCGTGAAACAGCCCGAGGACTGGCGTTCACAGTGGATGGGACAAAGCCAAGGCCGTTGGGTCGACCGGTCAACCAGCAGGCCTTAGATACAGTTTGGAGCACGCAGGACCAAATCCATCCATAAAGTCATCCAAACATATCCATCCACGGTTTAATACACACTCAGTACTACTACTCAAAATGCTGCGCTGTCCTCGGTGCTGAAATGATTGAAACGGTCTTTGTGCTGCATAATAATTGCTACATTGCAGCCTGCTGTAAGCCTTTCACTCTGCTTGTCACCTATGACCTCATCGTTGGCAATGGTGGGGAGCTCGGAGGTATCCTGCATGAACTTAACACTGGATTTATAGAAATAACATAGGCTGTAAATGTCGGTGTGATAATACACATCTATATCTCAGGGGAAAGGAAATTACACGACTCCAAATATCAAGGATGCCGTCGATAAATAGCCTTTTAATTAAAGAATTGTGGGCCTTTTTGGTTTTGCTTATTCTTAGACGCTTGCGCACAGAGTCCACGATTCTGCAACCTGTAAGTTGAGCAGAAGAGAGGGTGGGTGGGAGGAGGGAGACTGAAAGAGGAGGAGGGGAGAGGGAGGAAGCGGGAGAGGGGAATGCCGGGAGGCGCTGCTGATGTTAACTGTTCAGTCTGGTGAAGGAGAGCAAAGGAGCCGTGTAGCTGTCCGTGCCCCAACTTTTATGTCAGGGGCCACACTGCTAGCGAGGTGCTTGCAGGGAGGATGATGATGACCATGAACGGCAAGCAGCACTTCTCCATGCACCCGGCTCTGCACGAGCCCAAGTATCCCGGCCTGCACTCAGGCTCGGAGGGCATGCGCAGAGTCTGTCTGCCCGCCCCACAGGTACGTTCAGGTCAGGGGAGAATGACTGGAGTATACTGGGTGAGAGAAAGGGGAAAATATCACACTGGAAATGTCTGTAAAGTTGATTTGACAGGACTTTGTTCTATCCGCTATCTCTCCCTCTCTCTTCTGTCTGTACCCCCCTCCCCCTCCCAACCCCATCCTCCCCATCTCATCCACATGTCTATTCAAGCAATGCTCTTGCTTTCATATTAATTTTTATGACCTGCGCTTTGAGGAGGGTTCTCTTCTCTCCTCGGCGCTGCTTGCCTTTGGAAAATGTTTTTTAGATCCTGAGAGCTGCCTGACAGAATTCCCCACTGACTCCAGTATGCGCACTCTTGCTTGCAGCTGCAGGGCAATATATTCGGAGGCTTTGATGAGAGCCTGCTGGCACGGGCAGAGGCTCTGGCGGCTGCTGACAGCATTGTCTCTCACGGCAAAAGTCACCCGTTCAAACCAGACGTGACTTACCATACCATGAACAGTGTCCCCTGCACCTCAGCTTCATCTTCTTCCTCTACTACCGTGCCCATCTCCCACGTTCCTTCCACCATCGCCTCTCATCACCACCACCACCTCGGACAGACCCTGGAGGCCGGAGACCTCCTGGACCACCTCTCCACCAGCCTGGCTGTGACCGGGATGGGTGCCCCAGAGCCTCCAGGGATGACCACGCCGGCGCACCACCACCAGCACCCTCATCACCACCTGCAGACTATGGGGCAGCTGCACCAGGCGATGGCCACTATGGCCCACCCTCACTCCCTGTCCGTTCACGGCGGTATGGCTTGTGTCAACGACGTAGAGTCGGATCCCAGGGAGCTGGAAGCCTTCGCCGAGCGGTTCAAACAGAGGAGGATCAAACTCGGGGTGACCCAGGCGGACGTCGGGTCAGCTCTGGCCAACCTCAAGATCCCAGGAGTGGGGTCTTTGAGCCAGAGCACCATCTGCAGGTTCGAGTCCCTCACCTTGTCCCACAACAACATGATCGCGCTCAAGCCGGTTCTCCAGGCCTGGCTGGAGGAAGCCGAGGCTGCCTACCGGGAGAAAAGCAGCAAGCCGGACCTTTTCAACGGGAACGAGAGGAAAAGAAAGCGCACGTCCATCGCCGCGCCGGAGAAGCGCTCTTTGGAAGCGTACTTTGCCATTCAGCCCCGACCCTCCTCGGAAAAAATTGCGGCGATCGCCGAAAAACTGGACCTGAAAAAGAACGTGGTTCGAGTGTGGTTTTGCAACCAGCGGCAAAAACAGAAACGAATGAAATACTCTGCGGTGCACTGAGTTACACAGATCATGAATAAAATAGCCTACTACATTTTTGATCGAGTGATTAATAATAGCCTAAGTAACCTAACTAACAGGGATTTTGCAACGTGTCTCATTTTGGATTGCTCCCAGAAAGACTTTTACTTCATCCCCATTTCGTGTCACGCACTCTTCATTGTTGCACTTTTTCGATTTTGTTATTAATACGGGACTGATAAATGTGTTATAGATCTGTAAGGAGGATGACTTTGATGTTGTTTGTCTTGTATCTTGCACACTCTAAATGTGGATTTTTAGGAAATTCACCCTGACAATTTGTCACATTCAGGGATTATTAACTCACTTTTTATAAACCATTACTTGGAGTTCATGGAGGCTGAATTTATGGGCTGTTTAAATGTTAAACTGATGTTATCTGAAGAGACAGACAGAGTCTTCAGGAATTCGAGAAGAAAAGAAAAAATACGATTTTGTAAGATAATTGGTTGAGACCTGAGTTTGTCCTCCACATCACTGGCTCATATACACTGAACTATATGTCGTTTTCACCGCTTTCTTTTTCACCTCTTTTCTTTTTGAAAACTTCAGTGGAATGTGTCCTCAGTGTGTTCACCTTTTTAAATCACTATTTTTTCTCGGTATTTTTATTTTTTGCGAACTAATCAGCTCTCTTCGTGAACTGTGTGAAGGTAATTTACGCACAAGCAACAGTGACTCTTTCACAAGGTATATGACACTGTGAGTCTGGATATCTTTAATTATTTAGAAATGAAAATGACACCGTCTTATATATATATGAGGCACAGACGTGTGGCTTTGGCTGCTGCTATATTTTAATATTTTGATGTGAACGTGTTTTGGACCATTACAGGTGAGCTGTATATTTATCATATTGGTGAGATATATCCAGTATACAGGCCTCCATCACCTGATCTAACTATTTATTTTTTCTCACTCTTGATTTCATTTGGAAAAAACATGTGTGAATTTTAAACTTAATAAATTATCAGTTATTTTTTAAAATCCCACTGGGGCGACTTTATTTCTGTGACTTATGAAGCTGCATTCATTTACTCTTGAAGTTACAGCGCGAGAGCCGTTACCGTGACGAACAAATCGCAGGCCGAACCAATGGGCCATAACTTCATTGTAAACAGTTTGTTTTTATGGGACCTCGCCAGACTGTTTTATTTATAAATCCCCAGACCTCTGCTGGAATTAAATATGTATCGTTGTATATGATAGCCGACAAGGACCAAAGAAAGAGACGGGCCTCCGTTTCTACAGCGATGTTCACACCGCAGAGCGCTGACTGTGTACACGCTACTTATGGCCCCTTTCTCTAATTAGCACGGTTTTAATTATGGATGCCCTCATGTCACCGTGCATGGGCTTTGAAATTATTAAGTAATGACGATGCAATATTAATTATATATTGGTATAAAACGAAGTAATGTGGAAGAGTTGGAAGTAGAAGCCTGACTGGGAACTCTGGGAACTCTAGGGAGACATTGGCTGTACCACAGTTTAACGCAGGAAAGATGGGAATGGTTTTTATGATTTTCTTTTCTGTTTATCTAAGTAAGTATTTAATTTTATTTTTTGCTATTTACATTTTTGTGTAGTTTAAAACAAATATTTTAATATTTTGATATAATTATTTGGGGGAAGCGCGGAATAGCCTATCGCACCCAGCGATTATTATTATTATTATTATTATTATTATTATTATTATTATTATTATTGTTGTTGTTGTTGTTGTTGTTGTTGTTGTTGTTGTTGTTGTCATATTTCTATATGGAAAATATCCCAGTGCTTTTAAAAATAGGCCCAACCAGTTTGTTTTAGTTTTAACAATAGTATTATTAAATTAAATTAAAATAAAATACATTTGTTAATAGTTTCGGATCAATTTACAAATACACGGAAACGTTTTGGGGTTTGTTGATGAGAAGTGAATACTCACAGTGTAATTTACGGGGAACAAAAAGAACTTGAGAGAAGACGGTAAAATAAAATGCAAATTCTCGCCCAGTTGATTTTTGACCTGTAAACGTTAATTTCATTTAATTAAGTGTTATTTTATTGGCCTGTAAGAAAACATTTCACTTTAATTGTTATTAAAAATACTCCATTAGCGTGAAACTCTTTTCAAGACCAGAGCCAAATTTCTCTCTAACGGCCGGCACGTTTGTGGCATAAAAATGAAGATAAAACAAGAGCTTGGCGGTGTGAATAATTCATTTTTGGAATACCTGCATTGATATCATAACGTCGTCCCTATGCGGTAAGTTGAGCTGAAGGCTTGTGCGTTAGCGACATGTGGCGACTGAGGGCACCTCAATTATTCAGCAGCAGCTGAAAGGTATATTGCGTTTTCTCGTGCAATAACAGAGACGTGATCAGGGGCAAATTCATGCGTCATCTGCAAGGCTATATATGTGTGTGTGTGTGTGTGTGTGTGTGTGTGTGTGTGTGTGTGTGTGTGTGTGTGTGTGTGTGTGTAAACTCACAGCTAAAATAGTGACGGGTGAAGGACTTGAGACTAGTAATAATAATGATGATGATGATGATGATAACAGTGGTAAAAAGAAACAGGGCTAACACTGCGATAAAGGGAGCAGAGCTCTGTGAAGATATAGTGAAGATGTTTTCATGCTGGGATGACTAGTTTCAGAGGTAGCTGTACTTAAGTAAAATTTTCAGGTTTTTGTACTTTACCTGTGTATTTATTTTTGTGACAGCTCTTTACTTTTACTCCCTACATTTCTAAACAAATATATGTCCTTTCTACTGCTTACATATTCAAAACAGGCTCGTTACTTTGGTTTAACACATTTGAGTGGAGTTATTAGTTCACGTCACTGTGGGTCTTCAAACATCAAACTGATCTGAGTCTAAACAGTAACACATGACAGGCAGTCCCGTTTGTGTGTTAGTTACCACGGAATGAAAGGTGCAAGGCCGTGTGCGTGTGCCATAGTTAAAGGGGTTAAAGGTTGTTTTCGTTTTGTTTTTTGGCACCGGAAGAACTGCAAGTGTACATAAGTTGCATTATCGTGATACTTCAGCATCTTCAGCACTTCAGCCCTAGGAAGAGGAGCCAGCATAAACATACAAACATTTTTTAAGCGGCAGGTCATTTCAAATCCAACGTTTCCATCAGCTTAACAAACATTAGTAGTTTGTCTCACAGTGTGTTGCTAGCTAAAAGTCCAGCTGCTGTATTTTACAGGGAGGGAAAAGAAAAAGAGCTAACTTCACTCAGAGATGAAGAAAGATAAGAAAGACAGGACAGGAGAGGAAGAGAGGTTAGGTTCAAAGGTAAGGCTGCACATTTAAAGCGTACATTAAGTCCTCATGATTTTAAATCCGATGTATGTTTTTATGTTATGTTTTTTCATATTGTGAAACGTGCTGTAAAACAAATTGAGGCAGACTGGATGGAAATCCGCTGCAGGTTAGTGCAGGGTAAACAGGTTAGTTTGCTGTACTGTGATGAATTTAAAGTAAAGAACAGCGTGAGACTGGTGCACAGCTGCTGTGGGTTAATGCTCAGAGAAACGTTACTCTAAGTGCCTCAGAGATGAGTTTGAGGTTGATGATTAGATTCATTGACTGAATTCCACCTTCATACCAACTGTATACTGTCTAATATAAAGACAGCATATAGTACAGTTTACTGTCAGTGTAGAGGATGGAACTCAGCCAGGGCAATTCATGAAACATCTGTATGACATCTGGTTGAATATATATATATATATATATATATATATATATTAAAATTGTTTTTATTGTTTGTTTGCCTAAGCCTAGGCTGCTGCCCTGGCGACCCGGCCTCGGATAAAGCGGATGAGGATGGATGGATTGTTTGTTTGTATTGTTTAAGTGAATATATTTACGAGAATCCAAATTTAGACTCATATAAAGTTTGTAATTCCATCTACTAATATAAATTAATTATTACATTAATATAATATAAATAGGTTCAGTTAGCTTTGCACAAAAACAGGTGGTAGAAACTTCAACTTTTACCTGAGTACTTTTCTAACATTAGTATATGTACTTCTACTTAAGTACGAACTGTCTGACTATTTTTGACAGAATGAAGATGAAAGCTCTGTTTAATTGCTCAAGAATAGGTGCACATATATGTACCCCCTCTCTCTTTGTCTCTCAGTTTGCTTTAAAATACGCACTCTCACAGGGTGGCTGTCATCCGTGGGAGCACACTAAGGGAATGTGAAGGGAGGGTAAAGCCAAGACACCCCAAACTCAATAATTCATCCCATGCCAGTAGCAACAAATGAGAATGTGACCAGAGCGAGGGAAGACAGCTACCTCTGGGCTCTCTATTAGTCACCTTCTATTATCATCAGAAGCCAAACCGCTGCTACACACACACACACACACAGAAATATACACACACCTGTGTGCAGCACAGACCTGGATACACATGCTCACAGGCACACAATGAGATTGTGTTACTCTCTAGAAACTTGAAGCCAAGATGATGGATGAATGTCTTTTAAAGGTACAGCAGGTGATGCTCTCTGCAGTTTCTGTCACTTTTTCCATGGTTGGATCCACATTCTTTCTGTTTCGCTAATGCTACATTCTTTCAAATAACTCATTGCATTAGTGCAGTTCTGAAGTCCTTTTGTAATTAATTGTTTATTTACAGGGTAAGAAAAATCTACAGATTTTATAGTATAATATACTAAAGTCCATTTTTTGTTATAAAGCAAATTAAAGTATTTGCATTTCTGCAGTACTGTGCAAAGGTTTTTTGGCACTTCAGATTTAGATTCTTATTCATTCCATTAGGGACACAACTGACAGTCATGTATCATTGCAGTATTTTTAGCAACAACAATAAGAGTCCTGCAACAGATGTAATGTCCTCCACAGAGACCTTATCTCAACATTATGGAGTCAGTCTGAAATCACATACAGAGACAAGACACTGAAGTGATGTAAATCCACAGACTCATGGCAGTCATGTTGTGTGTGTGTGTTTACTGTACTTCATATAAAAGTAATAGATAAATAAACAGAAAATAAATCATTAATAATGGGGATAATCTTTTAATTCCACTGCCTGATGTGAGAGTGCTGCCTTTATTTTCTCTTTTTTGAGAATGTTTTGTACTGCTGGTCAGGCAGTTTGTGAGAATGGCTGACAGGTTTCCAAAATAACGGAATAATAATATTAATGGAGACAAAGTTATAGAGGGTAGGCTGAAACTAAAATGAACTTGCTTATAGCACTTCCTGTAATTATAGTAGTCTCTTGTTCCAAAGGAACTCAAATCAGTAATTTGACTTTAAAATACAAATATTCTGAAGCACCAGCAAACTGTCATTGCTTCCACAGAGAAAATTAGAAATGTAGGATAGAAAGAAATTTAGACTCTAACACCCTGTGCTTGAGGCCAATCGTATGCAGATACGATTCAGTTGTGGAAACATGTCTGAATAGTCTGTGTAGAAATGGCAACACTGGAGGCTGCAGGCGAGAGATCCTTCCTGCCTGATGACAGATGAGAAGCAATTAAAAAAAAAAAGAAATAGCAAAAATTAAAAAACATTTCTAGCAATTTCATTTCTTTCACAGAAGAGCACATTCATGTTCCAGCTCCAAAAATAGAAATAGAAATGTAGGGGTGTATATTAGAGGCACTCACAGAAACTCACTTATATGCACTTGCTAAATTCATTCAGCGGGTCTGAAGAACAGTATTATATACCCCATTCATTATTCAAACCTCTCCATTATCAAAGTGCCCAGAGAAATAAAACTAACCCAGCCAGAAATAATTCACTGTGGCGTGATTTTTTTTTCCTCTACAAAGCACTTAGCTGGTCAGAAGATGAGCTACACACAAACCCAGATTAGAGTGTAAGAACGCATAATCACAATAAGGTCTTCTGAACATAATCAAACTCCATAACTCCACTCACATGTGGCTGTAGTGTGGCAAGACAAAGGAAAGGAAACGGGAGAAAAGGACTTGTGGGAGGCA